GCGCTGCATGGGGTTGTTGTGGCCAAAGTGCAGGACCCAGCACTTGGCCTTGTTGAACCTCATACAGTTGACCTCAGCCCATCGATCCAGCCTGTCCAGGTCCCTCTGCAAGTCAAGTATGTATGAAGTTCAAAATCAGATTTTTTGTATATCACAATGCTTTCCTTCCAATGCTCTTTTGTTCCTCCCATTTTTCTCTTTATGAACCCCTAAGAATGCTTTGTCTTAAAAAAATTAAAATGTAAGAGTCTCAAGGATCCAATTCTATAGCCACTTAAGTTGGAGAGCACCTTAATATTTTAAAAGGACAGGAGATAAAGCTCAGTGTGGAGTGATTTCAATTTCTGTGGAGTTGCATAAGCCATGTTCTTAGCACAAATATGTCCACACAGTTCCTAATTGGATGTGAACAACATGCATGGGTATAGTCGTCTCAGATATATGGTTAATATTATTCAATGAATATCATAATTCTGCTTAGTTTTATACATTCTGGTTGTCGTACTCCTAACATTGCTAAAATGCTAGGAGTTTCCAGGCACAGAGACTAGGCTACAATGCCAGATATTGAATTGACATATTTTGTAACCACAGTATTAGAGATAAGAGTAAAGATTGAAAAACAGCAGCTAAATAAAATCATGGCAAAAGGCAAACAAAAATATTCTTATAATGTACATTAGGAATAACAAAAATGTAAGTACTAGTTAGAACGTCAACAAGAGATGAAAAAGAATAAATGGCACCCATGCCAAGACCTACAAGTTGGATTTAGCCTGGGAACAAACTAAGAATGAAGCAAATGACAGATATAAATAGAGTATGAGCTGTAGCACTCTGCTCCATTATGAGATAATTGGAAGAGATAGATAAGGGGGAAGTCTGAAGTGAACATCATGTACTTAAATTTTTATAAGGCATTTGAACAGGTTCTCTGGAGATTGATACCAAAGGTAAAAAATCAAATGCTTGTAATAAGGAAAAGAAGTAAACAACTCAAAAAAGTAAATAAACAGGGTTGATACAACACAAAGTGAGTGCCTATCCTCACAGAAGACATTTTCTTTTGGAACGAAGGTATAGTAAAAATGTTGTTATGGCTATAGAAACATACCATCTTTTTTTTACATTTTGAATATAAATTAGCTTGAAAGTCAAAGAGGAAAACAACCTACTGAATAGGAAGGTAACTTAACTTGAAAAATAAAATAGTACAAAATCCTTTTTCATAAAGGAACATACAGTGTTCCTTCAGATAAAACAGAGAGAATCCTAAATAGAATAAGCCAAATAACTTCTTACAGACATAGCAAAGCAGAGGCTGGTTGCATCTCTAAAGCAGAAGCAGACTAAGGAGACAAAATTAATCTTTATTTGCCTTGAACCCAGACAATAAGAACACCAAAATAACCAACAGCAATGAATAGATATTTTGCAACATGTATACATATATTCAGTTGCAACATAAAGGAACTATAAATCACTTCAGCTCTCTTCTTATGTTGTGAATATATTGATCATTTAGGTAAAAATGTGTTCTTCAGCATTTACTATACAATCATAGAATCATAGAACAGTTGGGTTGGAAGGGACCTCTCAAGGTCATCTAGTCCAACCCCCCTGCCATGGGCAGGGACATCTTCAACTAGATCAGGATGCTCAGAGCCCCGTCCAACCTGGCCTGGAATGTTTCCAGGGATGGGGCATCCACCACCTCTCTGGGCAACCTGTGCCAGCA